GTTTATAAATGTTCATAGTGCAAAGGGTACAGTTCAGTGGAGGGGCACTTGCCTTGCGTGAGTGGAGTGCCAGGTCTACCAATCCCTGGAAAAAAGAACACATAAAAAATAAAAGAGAAGAAACAAAGCTGTTAATTAAAGATAGTTACTGAACCCACTACTGCAGAAGATACAGAAACTCAGTATACCCCTGGAGATAATTACAAGATCAAAGTAGCACAGACTAGATATCATCTCCTAAACTGAAGAATAGGAAAATATGGAGAACAACGTAAGTTACAATCTTGGGTGGGAAAATAATGTATAAGTGACTTAACATTTTATTTTTAGTCACAAAAAACTCTTCTCAGTGATACAATCATACAGTAATATGGTTTTTACTAAGTCTAATGCATTTATTAACATATTAAACCTTCACTATATGTTATTACACAGACACTAAACATAGTGATTTAAAACTCTTTTCATGTATAGGATTTCAGAAGTAAAAATTAATAAATGGAGTGTTTTGGAATAAAATTTTCCTACACTTAATTTCTTAAATACTTCTGAATTCTGCGGTATTAAGAAAAAAACAAGAACAAATATAAATGCAGCAGTAAATATACTACACATTTGAATAGACCCATCAGATGGAGAACGCCAACAGATTGCCCTAATGTTAACTGCCAACGTTAGATGATAACGTAACGAAGGACCACTGTAAGTCATCATCTGTAACAAGGCTACTCCTCTAGGGGCGGGCACTGGCCATGGAGGGAAGCAAAACACTTTGTGTGAGAGGGACATGATCAATCAAAGCTCTCTGGATCCTCCTTTCAACTTTGCTGTGAACCTAAGCCAGACATAAAAAACAAAGTTCTTAGTGAAAAGGGTACAGCTCTGTGGTAGAGCACTTGCCTGACTTGAGTGGAGTCTCGGGTTGAGTGGCAACCACTGCAAAAAGGAAGACAATGGAACAGAAAAAAAAAAGAGAATAAACAAAGAAACAAAGAAAACGGTATTATTTAAAGAAAGTTAATGAATCTACTAATACCATGATACAGAAATTTAGTATACAATTGGAGATAATTCAAAAACACAGTAACAGTGTATAGATATCACCTCCTAAACCAGAGTAGGACATTATACAGAACAATACAAATTACATACTTTAGTGGGAAGATAATAATTGTTAAGTGACTTAAAATTTTATTTTTAGTCACAAAAATCACTTTTCAGTAATACAACCATGTAGTAATATTCTTTTACTAAGTCTAACACATTTACTTAAAAAATTAAAAGTTTACTCTAATGTCAGTACACACAAAGTAACCATACTAATTTAAAACTATTTTTCATGTATAGGATTTCAGAAGTAGAAATTAAAGAAGTGTAACATTTGGATTAAAAATTTCCTATAATCATCTCCTAAATTCTTCTGAATATGGAGTATTAACAAACAATTAAGAACAAACATAAATGCAACAGTAAATACCCTACACATTTGAATAGACCCATCAGATGGAGAACACTAACACTGAACCCTAACATTAACTGCAGATTCAGATTTTAAGGATAAGGGTAGACTCATGGTAAGTCATCATCTATCACAAGTGTACTACTCTAAGGGAGAGCACTGGCCATGGAAGGAGGCAACTTATGTGTGAGAGGCACATGATCAACTGCAAATCTCTGGAGCTTCCTTTCAATTTTGCAGTGAACTTAAACCTGATATAAAAAAGCAAACTTCTTAGTGTAAAGGATACATCTCAGTGATAGCGCACTTGCCTGGCCTGAATGGAGCCACAGGAAAAGGTTGAGGCTCTGCAAAAGGGAAGACAAAAGAAAACAACACAGGAAAAAGCTGTTAATTAAATGTAGTTACCGAAACTACTACTACCATGTTACAGAAACTCAGTATATACCTGGAGATAATTACAAGGTCAAAGTAGCACAGAATAGGTATCATCTCCTAAACCAAAGAATAGGAAAATATATAGAACAATATAAGTCACATACTTAGGCAAGAAAATAATTGATAGGTGACTTAACATTTTATTTTTATTCACAACAATCACTTCTTAGTGATACAATCATGTAGTAAAATGGTTTTACTAGGTCTAATGCATTTATTAAAATATTAAAACTTCACTATAATGTTAGTGCACAGATACTAGACAGACTGATTTAAAACACCTTTTCATGTACAGGATTACAGAAGTTAAAATTCAATAAAAGGCATATTTTAAATTATAATTTCCTACACTTCATGTCTTAAATACTTATGAATTGTGGAATTTAACACAAAATTAAGAACAAATATAAATGCAACAGCAAATACACTACACATTTGAACAGATCCATCAGATGGAGAACACTAACAGTGAACCTTAGTGTTAATTGCAGACTTTGGATGGCAACGATGGACCAGGGTAAGTCATCATCTATAAGGAGTGTACTACTCGAAGGGAGCACACTGCCTGTGAAGGGAGGGAATCCATCTGTGAGAGGCACATGATCAACCGAAATGTCTGGATCTTCCTCTCAACTTTTCTTTGAACTTAATCCTAATTTAAAAAACAAAGTTCTTAGTGCAAAGGACACAGCTCAGTTGTAGAGAACTTGCCTGGCAAGGATGGAGTCCCAGGTAAGGTTATATCTGCAAAAATGAAAAGCAAAAACATTAAGAAAGAAAGAAAGAAAGAAAGACAGAGAGAGAAAGAGAGAAAGAGAGAAAGAGAGAAAGAAAGACAAAAAACTGTTAATTACAGGTAGTTACTGAATCCACTACTACCATGTTACAGAAACTCAGTATACAATTAGAGATGATTCCAAAATCAAACTAGCACAGTACAGGTAACGTCTCATAAATGAGTAGGAAAATATGGAGAACAATATAAGTTATAAACTTGGGTGAAAAAATAACTGAGAAGTGACTTAACACTTTTTTTAGTAACAAAAATCACTTCTGATACAACTGTGTAATAATACGCTTTCACAAAGATTAATGCATTTATTAATATATTAACACTTTGCTAAAATATTAGTACATAGAAAGTAGCCATACGGATTTGTAACTCTTTTTCATGTTTAGGATTTCAGAAGTAAAACTTAAATAAATGGAGTATTTCAGATAAAAATTTTCTATACTGCATTTCTTAAATACTTCTGAATTTTGCACTATTAAAAAATTAAGAACAAACATAAGTTCAACACTAAATGCACTACACAGTTGAGTAGACCCATCAGATGGAGAACACTAACAGTGAAACTAATATTACCTGCAGATTTGGATTATAATAATGGACCGGTTTAAGTCACTGTCTATAACAAGTGTTCTAGTCTAAGGGATGGCACTGGCCATAGAGGGAGGCAACTTATGTGTGAGAGGCACATGATCAACTGCAAATCTCTGGATCTTCCTTTCAATTTTGCTGTGAACTTAAGCCTAAAATTTAAAAAAAACAGTTTATAGTGCAAAGGGTACAACTCCATGGTACAGCACTTGCCTGGTACGAATGGAATCTCAGGTTTTTTGGCAACCACTGCAAAAAAGAAAAGAATGGAACCGAAAAGAAAACAGAAGAGAAGAAACAAAGAAGAAAAGCTATTAATTAAAGATAGGTATTGAAAGTATTTCCATGTTATAGAAACTCAATGTACAATAGGAGATAATTCCAAGATCAAAGTAGCACACTATTAGTATCATCTCCTAAACCAAAGAGTGGAATATTATACAAAGCCATATAAATTAAATACTTAAGTGGGAAAATAATTCATAAGAGTGACAACATTTTAATTTTAGTCACAAAAATCACTTTTCAGTAATACACTCTTGTAGTAATATTCTTTTACTAAGTCAAACATATTTATTCAAAATATTAAAAGTTTAATCGTAATTCACACAAAGTAGCCATAGTGATTTAAAACTTTTTCATGTATACGAATTCAAGCAAAATTAAATGAATGAAGTATTTTAGGTTATAAATTTCCTATAATCCATTTCCTAAATTCTTCTAAATGTGGAATATTAACAAAAAATTAAACACAAATATAAATTGAACTGCAAATATACACTTCACCTTACAGTACACCCATGAGATGGGGAACACTAACAGTGAATCCTAACACTGACTGCTGACTTTGCTTGGTAATGATAGGCCAGTGTAAGTCATTGTCTATACCAAGTGTACTACTTTAGCGGAGGGCACTGCCTGTGGAGGGAGGCTACCCATGTGCAAGTGGCACGTGATCTAACAAAAATCTCTGGATCTTGCTTTCAATTTTGCTGCAAAATTAAACCTGATTTTAAAAAAAATCTTAGTGCAAAGGGTACAGCTCACTGATAGAGCACTTGCCTGGCATGGATGGAGCCTCCATTTTAATTGCAACCACTGCAAAAAAGAAGACAAAAGAAAAGAAAAGCATACAGGAGAAAAGAAAGAAACATAGGTTAAAATCTATTAAATGAAAATAGTTACTAAATCTACTAGTATCATGTTACAGAAGCTCAGTATACAAATTCACATAATTCCAAGATCAAAGCACCACAGTATAGGTACAATCTCCTAAAGCAAAGAATGGGAAAATATCCAGAAAAATATAAATGACACAACTAAGTGAAAATAATTGAGAAAAGTGACTTAACATATTAGTTCTAGACAAAAATTCACTTTTTAGTGATATAACCATATTATAATTTTCTTTCACTAAGTCTAACACATTTACTTAAAAAATTAAAACTTTAATGTTAGTGTGTATAAATCAGCCATACTGATTTAGAACTCTTTTTCATGTATGGGATTTCTGAAGTAAAAATTAAATAAATGGAGTATTTAGATCATTAATTTCCTATACTGAATTTCTTAAATACTTCTGAATTCTGCAGTATTAAGAAAAAATAAAGAATAAACATAGATGCAACAGTAAATATGCTACACATTTTAAAACAGCCATCTGATACAGAACACTAAAAGTGACACTTCGGATGGTAACGATGGACCCCTGTAAATCATAGTCTATAACAAGCATTCTAACGTAGTGGAGGCCTCTGGCCCCTGAGGAAAGCAACCCATGTGTGAGAGGCACATAATAAACCAGAAATTTTTGGATATCCTCTTAATTTTGCTGTGAACTAAAACCTGATATAAAAAACAAACTTCTTGGAGCAAAAGATACACCTGAGTGGAGGGGTACTTGCCTGGTGTTAAAGAAGTCTCAGATTCACTTGCAACCACTACAAATAAGACAACAGAAGAGATAAAGAAAAGAAACAAAGAGAAAACACTATTAATTGAACATAGTTACTGAATCTACCATTACCATGTTACAGAAACTCGGTATACAATTGGAGATAATTCCAAGATCAAAGTAGCAGTGATAGATATTATCTCCTGAACTGAGGACTAACAAATTATACAGATCCATATAAATGACATACTTAGGATGGAAAATAACTGATAAAAGTGACTTAGCATGCTATTTTTAGTCACAAAAATCACTTTTCAGTAATAAAATCATGGAGTAATATTCCTTTACTAAGTCTAATCCATTACTTAAAATATTAAAAGTTTACTCTAATGTTAGTGCACAGAAAGTAGCCACACTGGTTTAAAATTCTTTTTTGTGTTTAGAATTTTAGAAGTAAAAATTAAATAAATGGAATGTTTTAGATTAGGTCTTTCTTGTAATTCATTTCTTAAATAATTCTGAGTTCTGAATTATTAAAAAAATTAAGGAAATATAAATTTAATTGACAGTAATGTTTTAACTCCTCTGTGTTCAAAATTTTTTCTTACTCTTTTCCTTTTTTGTTGTTTTTGTCTTTTGTTTTTTGTTCTTTGAGACAGGGTCTCACTATGTAGTGCAGGATTGCCTTCAACACAAGAAGGTACTCCTGCCTCAGCCTCGCCAGTGCTGGGGTTACAGGTTTGTGCCTTCACACTCATCCTTTTGTCTTTGAAAATCAAGACAGGGCCACCAAGTGTAATTCACTGTGAGAAGTCTTACCTGCAGGGCTATTGTCAGAATTTGAAGATTCCTTTTTTTCACATTGAGAATTTTTTCTATGCAAAAAAAGTGATTTAAAATTGTTATAAAACATATTAAATTACTAAGCGTATTTCAGACAATGTTAGATCTAATATGAAAACTTTACTCCAATACTTCAAATCTGTCGTGTCTACAAAACTTTATTACACCTGTAATTAAGGAAGAAAAAACAGTAAGTAAAGTGAGGCAGGCATCAATCAAGAAAGGCAAGACAGCTCCAAGCATTAGCTGGATTAGCACAATTTAAGAGAAACTGTCTTGAAATCACAAGCTCCGGCTCGAAAACCAACAGCTGTTTCTTTTTGCATAAGTCATTTCCCTTAGACTCAAAGTCTTATAAACTGTAAGGACTTGGCTAATTTAGTTTACCAGAATCCCATGAAGGTTTGATGAGGTAACATAGAAACCTGCTCTCAGAAATAATAAAGTAAGGGGTGAGTAGTTCCTAAATGCTCACCTAATTTGGAATTCCAACTACAACCCAACGTGTGTATTTTCAGATTGTAGTATTCAAGTGCTGTAGTTACCAGAAAATAATGGGTCTTAATTTGGACTATGAGCTCTTCTCTTCTCTGTGGTTTATAATTCATGGCATATCAACTTTAAATAATTTATAACTAAGTCTATTTATAAATATCTCATTAAATTGGACAACATATTTGTCTTCTACTACTGAACTAGTTATGCCAATGGCAGAAAAGTAACAGATATCAAGACCTGGAATAAAACTTCAAGCAGAACACATAACTGTATCAGACAAACATGACCGGACAGGGAAAATCAAATAAGAATTAATACAATTGTGATGGAGCTGTTTAATTCCCCATTGTCACAAAGACATAAACCAAGTAGACAAAAATCAGCAAACAAATATCAGAACTGAATAAAACCTGTGAACAAGTGGACTTGGTAAGTGTTTACAACATTCCACCGAACAACATTAGGATACATGTTCTTCTCAGCTGCAAATGGGACATTCTCTAGACCATATACTGGCCCACAGAATATGCTTAAGTAAGTACTAAGGAACTGAACTTATCCCAGGCATATTTCCTGATGACATCCCAGTGAAACTGGAAATTAACACCAAAAGAAACCGCAAAAATTCCATAAACACATGGAAATAAATAACATACTCCTGAACAACCAATGGGTCACAGATGAAATTAAAAAAGAAATTGAACAATGTCTACAATTAAATGAAAATGCAGATACAACTTCCTGAAACCTTTGGAATGCAATGAAAGTAGTCCTATAGGAAATTTGTAATAGTGAAGTCTCACATCAGAAAAACAGAAAGAGCAAAAACTGGGACTTCCGGGAGAACATAGTGGACAGATAACAGCAGCTATGGAGGCTGCTTCTAAGACTTGGCTCAGAAGTCAGGAATGGTGCGGAGTAAGGAGAAATAAACCAGTGGAGATATGCTCTGCTGACCCAGGAACGAACTGGGCTGAGAGAAACCAACTTGGAATGCAGTCCTGGTGCTAGAACAGGAACAGAAAAGCCTCAGCCTGGAGGCTGGACCCCGCACCATTGGAAGCCGCAATTTGGGTTTTCCGCCACGCGGCGACTGCATCTGCATCAGCTCGGCAGGGAGAGAGACGTGCAGAAGTTCTGAGAACGGGAATTGGTGAACAGAGTTGAAAACAGGACGGACGGGAGCCATGCACTGACTTGTGGTGAGGTGAGTAAGAGAAACTGACACTCTATCACAGTTTGACTCCAGCGGAAAGCATTCTGGGACTGGGCAGATTTGCGGGAGCAGCGCGCTGTGGCGACTTCAGCCACATATGCCCCTCTCAGGCGGGATTGGTGAGAAGTGCCTAGCCTACGTGAGGCTGCTGGCCGAGACCCAGTAGGCTAGCACAACCCAGATCCCAGAGCCTGAGGGTGGCCTGGAGGGGTGGGCCCCGTGTAGGCTGCCTGGTCTGCAACTTCCTGGTGTGCTGTGGCGGGCGGGAACACCTAGCCGGCGCAATTCGATCAGGTTGTGGCTGACAGGGAGGGAAGCTGGGCCTCCTACATAAGCCTGCATATATAAGGAACAAAGAATATGGGAAGAGGGAGCAACAAGAAAGGCTCCTCGGCCCCTAATCCTGAGAAACAGGCAAGAGCGGACACCGCACCAATAGACATTAAGCGCCATCTAGAGAGCCTCATAGATCAGTTCAGGAATGAAGTTATTAATGACCTGAAGCTAGAAGTAAGCAGAATAGTTAGAGAAATGCTAAGCACCACCCAAGAAAAAACGGATGGTGGAATGGAAGAACAGAAAAAGAGGGGAGAATTGTTTGATGGAGAAAATAGAGAAAGCATAGAATATGTGAAGCAGGTTCAAAGGGACTACCAGGAAACTAAAGAGTCTATTGAAAACTGGCATAACAGCTTGAAAGAAACTAAGGACAGACTATCTGAACTGGAGGGCAGATTTGTAATATGGGAGCATGAAATGAAAAACTTCTTAAAAGTAACAAAGAAACAAACAGCAATAATACAAAGACTAGAAGATGATAAGACGATCCATAACTTAAGAATTAAGAACATAAAAGAAGAAGTAGGGACACAAACAAATGAACTACAAAAGCTACTCACAGAAATAATCCAGGAGAATTTTCCTAATTTAGCAAAAGGTAAAGATACTCAGATGTACAGGACCCCAGCCACCTACAACCCAAACAGAACAACACCCAGGCATATAATAATAAAAATTCCAGAAATTCAATACAAGAACAGAATATTAAAAGCTGTCAGAGACAAGAAACAGACCACTTACAAGGGAACACCCATCAGAATTACAGCAGATTTCTCTGTACAAACCATCAAATCATGAAGACTGTGGGGGGAAATAATTGAAGCTTTGAAAGATAATAATCTCCAGCCAAGATTGAGATATCCTGCACAACTGTCCCTGGAAATTGATGGAAAAACAAGGTGCTTCCAGGATAAAGAGGAACCGGGGGAATTTGCAACCACCAATTCAACTCTACAGAGAATACTGCAAGATATTCTAAAAAAGAAAAATACAAAAAATCCAGAAGTAGCAGCAGAGAGGCCACAATGAATGGAGCAGAAAACAAAATGAAGAAGACAAACTGACAACTAATGACAGAAAAAGAACTCAACAGAAATGCGGCAGAGAAGATTGGATGATAGGAACAGCTATTTTGGAGAAAATGATGTCTTAATAGGTAATACTGATTTAGTATCATCTAGTTTTGAAGTCTCATCAAGCTTTTGTTCTTCTGTCTCCATTGGTCTAAACAGGTTGGATCTTGTTGGATTTTATTATGTATGATAGTATAAGTAAAAACTTTTAAAGACAAGGAGATTATACAGAAAACATTGTTCATTTTCTGTTAGTTGATTCTAAATACCCTGTAATGCAGTCATTCTCTTAAATGGTTTTACATTCTTTTGATATATTTAATGCTACAGTATACGAAGTTGTACTCAAGGATTTCAAGGAAAGAGACAATATGGTAACTACTTTTATGTCAGGATTATCTGATGGTGAAACAATATTCTGCTTAAATGGTTATGTTTTGATCTGTGCTGTTTTGCTGTTATGCCCTTTTTTATCTCAATCTCCACTCCATTATTTACTTTTTAATTTTTATCCTTTTAATTAAGGAAAACATAAATAAAAATAGCAGGATATATTATAGTAACCCACTTTGACTTTCCATTATCTTGATTTAAAGCCCTGTATTACTCTCACCATCTTGTTTTTGACTGATGTCCCCCTATTGTGTTTTGCTGGATAGTACCAGGTTCGAAAGTTTAGGCAACAGCTGTGAAGATAGTGAGATTCATTATGTCGCCCATTCTCGATGATTTTTATCTACTTTTGAAGACCTACAATGTCTCCAATGTTTTGGTTTTGTCGGTTTTATTCTTTACTGTTTTGTTCAATTTTATTATAACTGATGATATAGGCAATTCTATTAGAGATAGCGGGAGGCATTATGGTAACCATTGTTGATCACCTTGTATTATGTTTTTACATTATCTATTATGTCCACCCTTTTGATTTGACTGACTCTGCTCTGTTATATCTCATTTGGTTTCACTCTCTTCCAAAAAAGTAATGACATCCATGGGAGCAATAAAACCCAAAATGTGTAATAGTCATTGTACAAAAGAGAGGAAAAGAAAGTGCTCTGAATAATATAACTGCATGTATATTTAAGTGTATATGATAGAAAATGATATCACTGAGTTTTATTGGATCATTGAACAGAACTGTTTGCAGTATCATTGTTGGAATGTCCACTTTACAAGCTTTAATTTTGTCACTTGAACAATTATCTCTAAGATGACAATATGTAATCCATTAACTAGTGATGTCCTACTGTGTATTTTTTTCTGTAAATCTGTATAACTTATACCCTTTCTCTGCTTTTTTTTCTCCTTAAATAAAATTTAAAAGAAAAAAAAAGAGCAAAAACTTTATGTTGCATCTCAAGTTTATAGGTAAAGAGGCGGAAGGCAAGACTAAAACCCATATAAAGGAGGAAGTTATAAAGATCAGAGCAGAAATTAATGCAACTGACACTAAGAAGATAATACGGAGAACTAATGAAGTGAAGAGTTAGTTCTTTTAAAGACCTGGAATGGACTAATATTCTTCCTCTACACAACAAAACTCTGAGTGTGATTCTAACAAAGATTGGCTGGTTTAATTTCTGTCTGTCTCCAACTGACATGGAAGGCAAAACCCTCTTGTGTGCAGGACATATTGCATCATGCTGGGCTTAGTTTTCTTTATTATGAATTCAGAGAGTTTCATTTAATTGCTTCTGTATGAGACAAAAATCTGTAAATATTCTAGAGTCCTTATTCCAAGACAAAAATAGATTTTCAGTAGTAAACAATTTCAGAGGCCAAACAGAAGTTGTTGCCAATTCAAGGCTTAATTCGGGACCTTTTACAACTTATGTAATGGTGCTACTTGGTATAAAGAGACTTCTCGGTAAAGACCTGGTGACAAAGAAAAAACAAACATTGATCT